CTCATAGGGGGTTAAACAAGATCCATGTTTTCATACATTTGCCATGTTCTGGAAAAAGAGTTCTGTTGTTTTCAACTGCATAATATATTTTCTTTTTCTTGAAACTACCTGCTTGAAACCTGGATCTTCCAGAAAAAAAGACTATGACAGTATCTGATAAAAATTCACAACCTCAAGGACTTCCTGAGCATGTCTATCCTCATCTCCAGCAGGAAGAATTAAGCTAAGATACGTATTTTCTGGTGAGACACTGCTTTCTACAGCAATGCAGATTAATACACTAAAATACATAGGTCTCTCCAAAAACATTTCTTATTTACTTCCATGGAAACTACAACAGATACAAAGAGCACAAAAGCACTATTTCCCAGAGCAAATTCTCAGCTATAAAACACTACTTCTCAATATAGTCACTGTCATTAATGGAATGACGAAGAAACTATAAACACTGCTTCAGAAGTACAGCTGTGCATGGCTATTCAGAGCATAACTTATTTCTCACATCACCACCACCACTGCAGAAACACAGCATCCACAGCATCACTGTGCTCACATCCACTGTCTGGTTTCCAAAAATGCTTAGAAAGCATGCATGAATGTCAGTGGGTGCCACTCTTTCCACATGGAGGAACTCAGTGACACACCTTTGCTTCATACACACTTCCATGTCAGATGCCATTTTGTCAGACTGCTCCTCTGCTGCCATCTGTCACACAGCAAAAAAAATGTAGTGGAATATTGGTGGGAAGGGTCCACCTCTACTGCTGTACATTCAACTCTGACATTGTGGGCTGACATAATAAAATAGGAGGCATTACTTTTGGAGCATCCCCCTGATCTGTTGTGGTTCTAGCTCAGCACCTCCTGTTGCCACAATGTGTACTAAGTTGAGTACACATAGAAGTCTCAGATTTAAGGGTCATATTAAAGTGCTTTATAGGACTTTCATAATTTCTACCTTGCTGCTCAGAATGGCGGATAGGTTTTGCAAATATTCTCCAGAATCATAACCACCTGAAAGGCAGGAGGATTTCAGTACAAGATAAATATTACCGTAGAGCACAGAACAGCAGCAGTGTTTTAAAAACAATCCCATCTCAATTTGTTCCAGAAACAGCCTGCAGCATAACAGCAATGTTTTAATGCCTTAAAGCATGCAGTTCACCTCAACACTTCTGAGTGCTGTCTGCTCGTTTCCCACACAATCATGTTGCGTGGCTTCAGAAGTCTGTCATTTCAACACCATCAGTACCACTTTCTGTCTAGCACCCTGAAGTCTGGCCAGTAAATGAGACGCATTGTCTTGCACTGCTGTGTTTTCTTCTCTGCTGTTGAGAGGCTGGACACATCAAGCACAGTCTGTGGGTTCTCTCCTTTTCCCTCCAGAGGTGCCAGATGGAATGTCAGCTTTCAGACTAAACAAGTGGCACTTGAGGCAGCAGGAAGAAGAGTGGTAGCACACTCTGACAGGTGACAGCGCTAAGACAAAGTAGGTGTCAAGTGAGGAAGAAACAACTTGAAATCCTTTTGTAAATATTAAGCAACCAAATTTCTCAAAGCTGACTGAGAAAAAGCTGACCAAAGATGTATGAGAGAAGCAGAACAGAATAGGTATTCAGAAGGGTCATTAATAGCAAAACTTGCTAATCAGCTCATCTACAGATCTCATTACGGACTCATACAGAAAATCCTTGCAGATACAGAATCACAGAATCACAGAACTGCCAGGGTTGGAAGGGACCTCAAGGATCATGAATCTCCAACCCCCCTGCCACACGCAGGGCCACCAACCATCCCACCTAATGCTAGACCAGACTGCTCAGGGCCCCATCCAATCTGGCCTTGAACACCTCCAGGGACGGGGCATCCACAACCTCTCTGGGCAACCTGTTCCAGTACCTCACCACTCTCTCTGTAAAGAACTTCCCCCTGACGTCCAACCTAAATCTCCCTTCCCTCAGCTTAAAACCATTTCCCCTTGTCCTGCTGTCACCAGTGACCTATGAGGTTTAAAGCCGTGACCCACCAGCACTACCTGCTGGGCAGCTGCACTGTAAGATATGCTGGTGTAGTTCAGAATGAGAGCTAGTCCAAGCTGCATGGCTTCACATTTGCCATTACTGAGATCAGCCACCTTTGGAAACCCACAGCAAGTACAGGGCTGCCCACAGAGGTGGTGGATGTCCCATCCCTGGAGACACTCAAGGTCAGGCTGGGGCTCTGAGCAACCTGGTCCAGCTGCAGATGTCCCTGTTCAGTGCAGGAGGGTTGAAGTAGATGACCTTTAAAAATCTGTTCAATTAACTAAGTACCTCTAAAGTAGAGATGCATAACTTGATTTTCTTTAAAATCAATGAAGAGTAAAAAGGCATGCTTGGGGCTTGGTTTGTCTCCTGAAAGAGACACAGCAGTAGGCCAGAAGTCTACAAAGGAAGCCAAAAGAAGCAGTCCACATGAAAGAATCTACACAGGCATCTAAGACCACATTACAGGAATTCTACTGCCAGTGTATGTCTGTTTTCTGTAATGAACATGAATGCTAAACACAATACATTTACTAATTCTACCATAACAGACAAGAAATGAAAGAGCTCATATTTATATTGGAAATATATATACTGCTTCTGAGAAGTGCAGGTTCTCGACTGTTCTAAAGCAAGAAATACATTGTGTAGGGGATCTGGATGACTCTTATCTTTGCAAAGGTCTCAGAGATATAATTTCTGAAGATTTTTCTCCCTTACTTCTTTTGTAAAACAATTTGTGATATTCAAATCATTGCTTTAAAAAGCAAATAATTACATATACTCCCTTAAAATCCACTATATATTTGTTTCTGTGCAAAAAGAAAAAATAATTCTAAAGTGACTGCTTTTTTTCAGAAGCTGCCTCTTGCGAGTTATTGGATATCTACAGTTTTATGCATTGCGATACGGACAATAATTAGCATTAACAGCAACATCTCACCAGTAGCTGATAATTCCATTATCCCTTATCTTTTCTCTTGACACACAGTTGCTTTCCCAGCTGACAAAATACAATCACTAAGGCCACAAGGTATTCTATTCAATTTTCAAAACACGAGACTCAGTGTCAGAGACTCGACCTGAAACATAACTTGCAGAATTGATTTGCCAGCATTGTGCATCCATCCCCAGCTCATGTCCTTACAGCTAATGGCAGGCAATTGTTCTGTCTGTATGTGTTTCAGGTGTAGGCAGCAGAAACTGAACACAGTGAGGAGAGCAACATCTCAAATGAACTGATTCTTCTCTGTATTTCACACCGTATCTGCACTCTTCTTGCATCCCTTTAATTTAAGCCTGTAATTGAGATCTCTAAAATAAATTGCTAACTCTCTTTGGTATCACGCATAAACTGTCAGGAAAGTGAAAATGTGATACACAGAGAATCTGAATAAATAGGATAAAGGCTGAGGGAATAGGTTGTGAGAGGAGCTTAAATGACAGAATGCTGCATAAAAACTCTCCCAGCCCAATATCCTGTCTCCGGGAGCAGCCATTAAAATATGCTTAAGAAAGATTATAAGGAACGTGGCAAATGTCTTAGTACTTCTTCAGTATTCCCCTCAAACATTCAGAGGATTAGAGACCATTAACTGTCAGAGGGCTTAAGGGAACAAGTGAGAAGAGGGCTGCTTGGTAGAGATGCAGGGTAAACAGCCTGCTTCCTGCCAGCACATTTGACCCAGGGAGAGATATCCCTGTGTAGATATACTATAACAAATGCTCTCTGTATTGTAACAGTGTCATAAGTTCTACTTAGGACAGTGTCCACAGTACCACTTAGGCAGATCTGCTTCATTGTGGAGAACACAGATATTGAGCTGGAAGAAAGACATTTCAATACTATTAAAGAGCAATTCATAGCACTGAGGAAGAGACTTCAAAGATGCCTCTTCATTTGGAAAACTATGTGAGTTTTTTTCCAAATGAAAATAGTCACTTCTCCACTCCTCTTGGGGTAACTACTGTCCTGTCCCAGCCCAGGTAGAAGGGGTGCACAAAAACAACATACTGAGGCATAATAAAGACCAGTTAGACCCGTACTCTGCCACTGTCAGGCCAACAACTTATGTTTTAAGAAAGGACAGAAAACTAGGGTAATTATGCATTATATGTACAAATGACATTATCCTCTTAACCTTTTCCTATTAAAGTTTCGGACACTTCCACAGCTAAGTATGCACTTGGACCAGTAACTTGAACAGACATTGATGCACTTATTTTCTCTGAACCGGTCTAATCCATTTTAGGGTTTAGTTTATTTGACTCCATTCCATAAAAACACGAGCCAAAACAAATTAACACGGAAAACATTGCTTCGTAGGAAATGAACAAGATGGTGTTGTTTATTTATCTTCCTTACAAGGAAATGCTATGCTAAGCAAGAAGAAAGTCAGCTGCCAAGCAATGATGACAACTAGTACTTGAGTATAAAACTGTATAGGGAGCAGGAAATTAACATTTTTCTCTGCAGGGAATCTTGGTTTACACCTTTGGTCTAGAGGACATTCAAAGAGCAATGGAAGAGCATGGAAGAACATGAAAGCAACCTGTAATCTCACTGTTCCATGGGTGTTAATTAACCTGGCAGCCATTCAAATCGTTGGCATTAAAATCCTCTTATCTGAGAGCTGCACATTTCAGCATTTCTGCAGTCTCTACTATGTACAGAGGCATTGTACAGGGGCAGCAGGCTACCAAAAAAATAAGAAAAAGAGGCAGAAGCTTGAGGATGACTGCAAATCATTAAATTGTGATCAGAACATCTGTTAGTAGTTGGAGAAACATGCTATCTGGAGAAATTCACATCTCAATAAAGCAAAGGTTCCATCAAGAATGTAATAAGAACATCTTTGAGAAAACAAGCATAAATGTTCTTTGGTGAGAGTATGCTGCAATCAAGGTAAAACTGTGCTGAAGCCAGAAAGTTTGAGTAAAGATATTGGTCTCTGAAAGGAGTTTTTTTCTACGTACCTGTCCAGTCTCCTACTACTTTAAGGTGGACCCCAAACGTTGCTTTGGTATCTGTAGGGCACTAAAAATATTAAATATATTAAGGACCGATTCTATGTAACAAAAAAGTAAAAAAATGCATTCAAAATACAGTTGTTAAGACAGAATTTGTTGTAAATAGGTCATTCCTGAGGAGATATATCAGCAGCTACTCCCTTTATAAAGCATGTCTAGCACCAATATGGTTCCTCCACTCAATTTTAGCCCTTTCACTTGTTTACAGAAGAGTATGGGATCGCTTTTGTCTGGATGTGCTATTTGGAATAACCACTCCATTAAGCATTATTCAGCAATGGTATCAAATAAGGATACAGCACTACAGAAGTACTTCTCCTACTGCCAACCCTTCTCATTCAATATCAGGAACTGCCCCATCATCCCTAAATCAAGACATTTAAAGAAACATCTTCCTATTTAGAGATTTCTGTTTTTTCAGTGTCAGGGCTTATAATTTCAAGTTGATCGCTCTCATACAGCTACTGCTTTCTTCTATATTAAAAACTGAAATTTTGGTGCCCTTCACAAGAGCTTAGAGCCTGCAAAGGAAAAACATCAAAGTGAATGACATAAAATAAAATCACTTTGCAGCCACTATACTCTCACTTTACACCTACTGCCTCACCTCAAGGCTACTTAGATGTAACTATCAATAAAGGAATTGTTATTTACAGTCTTATTTACACCAAGATATCTAGAAACCTCCAGTCAAGCCATGTCAAAGGAATGAGAAACCTTCTCAGTTCCACTCTTTGTTAGCCACAGGAAAAGCTCAAACTCAGTGGCTGGACAACTTCTGCTGAGACACTGAATGATCTCACACATGAACAGGACAAGCATTATTCCTCAAAGATTCTTTACTTTCCTTCTATAAATCAACACTATTGGTTTCTCTTTGACAGAAGATACTACTATTGCATTTTGACATCTTTCCTAGAATTTGTTAACAACTGATCTAAGGTCCATCATGAATTCAACACCCAAGCAGTGACACTTCTGTCTCTATTTTCTCCTGCTACAGACAAATACAAACACCAGGGAGAAGGTTGAAATCCATGGAACGTATCTGTATTATAAATAAAAGAGGCTCAGGAATACAGTCCAAGCAACAAAGCCTCAATCATCCATCAAGTTTGTGAGGAGTCTTCTTGGCTCTTTTTTCAACCATTTCCAGCATGAAATCAATCTCAGATAAACCTGAAGTGGGAAACCACTGGCGTCAGGGCTTGAGGATCCATTCCTATTCCTCTTAATACAGCAGAAAAGAAGTAGGTAATATTTTAATATTCTCTACATCTTGCCAAACATGTAACAAGGATTAAAAAGCCCCCACTAATCATTCAATCTTCCTGAAGAGGAACATCATTCTTTTTTAAGAGTACTGATCATTACTAAGATTTGTTAACTGTCATCTTTCAAGTTTGCCTACAAACATTTAGTAAAGATACTTATTTAGGCAAGTCTTAGCCTTCAAAAATGCAATATTAAGGTAAGGTCACAGACAAATGTCATATAACAAGGTCTGTATTTGCTACGGCAATTTGCAGAGTCCTCCAGAAGAAAAATATAAGAGCAATTCTCAACATAAAAATAGATATGTCTCCTCTCAGCTAGAAAGAAGCATTCTAGCCACAGAAATATTTGTTTTCCTGGGGACTTCTGTAAGAGCCTTTGGCAGAGTTGATTTTTCATTCTGGGTTGTCCTGCGGTTCTCTGTGTTTCACAGGAGACTGAGTGGTTTTCTTAGTACAACCATGAAAAATCCCAGGTCAGCACATCTTCTATAAAACTGCCTGTCATTCCCTCATTACATTACAGTTAGTGGCTGAACAACCCTTGACTCCAGCCGAAATAGGTTCAAATCTATTATACTTTATGTTAACCTTGGGACAAACCCCCTTCTACATTACATTGAAAAATAATAAAAAAGGGATTTATGTCTCTTTAGCCTCTAGGAAGCCTGTTTTGATTCCTATAACTAGATATGAGTGTTCCTCAGAGAGTTCTAGAAAAATCTTATTGTGTTACTAAACCTTACCAGAAAAAACACACCCATCGTGTAGGCAATACAGTGTTAAATTCCCCATGTTCAATAGGAAGAAAAAGTGCAGATGGTCCAGCAAAGAGCCACCAAGACGATTTGGTTACAGAATCAGACATATAAAGAGAGATCCAAGAAAATGTGTGTTTAGTCCACAAAGAAAAGAAGGCTCAGAGTGATCAGAGTGGCCTTTGACATGGTCCCACACCACGTCCTTATCTCCAAATTGGAGAGATATGGAACTGAAGGGTGGACTATTCAAAGGATAAAAATTGGGTGGGTGGTTGCAGTTGGAGGGTTGTTCCATGCCCATGACCAGGCAAGGCCAGTTATGAGTGATGTCCCTCACCAGTCTTTGGTCAGGTGCTCTTTAATATATTTATCAGTGACACGGACAGTGAGATTGAATGCACCCTCAGCGAGTTTGCTGATGACAGAGTGGTACAGCTGATACAATAGAAGGAAGGAGTATGATCCAGAGGGACCTGGACAGGCTTGAAAAGTGGAATCATAAGAGTCAAAGGGCAAGAGTAAGGTGCTACACTTCAATTGAGACACAGTCTGTGTGTACAGACTCGAAGAAGAAATCCTCGAAAGCAGCCCAGCTGAGGACTTGAGAAGGTCTTTTAGAAGGTCTTGGTGGGCAAGAAGTTGGACATGAGCCAGCAGTGCGTGCCTGCAGCCCCAAAGTATCAGTATCCTGGGCTGCATCAAAAAAGAGGTGGCAGCAGGGCCAATTAAAGTCTTACAATGACTAACAGCATGAAGGAATTTATCTTCTTCCATTGCACAGCAATGTCCCTGCACCACTATGTTATGCAGATGGATGATCTGCAGAGGATCCTTCCATCTTAAGTCCTATGACACTGTAATTTGAACTTGAAATTTTTTGTTTATGCATTTATTGTAAAAAAAACCCACTTATTTGATGCCTCTCAACTCCATAAACACAGCAAGTCTCCCAACTGTGGCTTTTTCTAGACTGTGAAAATTCTGCATAAGCTTAAGAAAAATATTCAGACAGAATTTTTAAAAGTTCAATGATAAAAGTGGGTTAACTTTCATATATTATCAACAGAAAACTGTGCAAATGTAATGAAGTACACGAAAAGTATCTTCTTACATATTTGACTGTCATCATGGAATCAGGAAATCAAAGAATAGCTGAGACTGGAAAGCCTCTCCAAAATCTGGCTTAGCTCATTCCCCCTGCTCATGCAGTCAGTGAGAGCAACGCTCAGTCTTGTTTTGCTTATCTTCAAGGAGGAAACTCCTCAGTTTCCCTAGGCAACCCATGCCAGTGTTCAAACTCTCTCACAGTAGATGCGTTTTTTCCTTTTGTTTAGATGGTACCTGAAGTACTTCAGATTGTGACCACTGTCATATCACTATATATAACTGAGAAGAGTCAGCTTTGATCTTAATTTCCCCCACCAGGTATTTATGCCCATAGATAAGATTCCCAAGCCTCCTTCAGGCTGAAGAGTCCCAACTCTTTCAGCCTCTCATAGAAGAGATGCTCCAGACCCTTAAGCATTTTTGTGTTTGTGTTCTAGCATGTCTATGTCCCTCTTATACTGGGGAGCTCAGAACTTGAAATGGAGTAGTGCTGAATAGAGTGGAAGGATAATGTCACTTATCTGCCTAACACAGTCCAGGAGGCTGCTGACCTTCTTAATTGCAAGAAAACACTGCTGGTTCATGTTTAACCTGGTGTGAACTAAGACTCTGAGGTCCTCCTCTCCTCAGTTTCTTTCCAGTAGGTCACGTACTTGTATCTGGGCTAAATCCTCACCAAGGGGAGGACTTCAGATTTTTTCCTGATATTCGTTAAGGTTCCTGACAGCATTTTTTCCAGCCTGTCAAGTTCCCTCCAGTGGCAAGGCAGCCATTTAGTGTACTAACCACTCTTCCCAGTTTTGCAAAGCTACTGATCCTTGAGGCAGACCACTGCAGGCTGGCCTCCAACTGGACTGTTGCTCACAATGCCTTCTAAACAGTTTTCAGTTTACCTCGACAGCCATTCATCTAGTCTATACATCACTGATTTCTCTGAGGATCAGCATCAAAAGACATGTGAAATATACTTTTGCCTATTTTACATACCTCAATCTCTGATCACCTATTCCTTTTTATTTCATAGAATCATAGAATATCCTGTGATGAAAAGTACCCAGAAGGATCATCAAGACCAGTCCTCCCTCCATGCAGGATCACCCAAAATCCAAACACTATGTCTGAATACCTTGTCCAAATGCTGCCTGAGCTCCAGCAGCTTGGAGCTGTGCACATTGCCCTGGGCAGCCTGTTTCTTGCCCACCCCCTCTGGTCATGAACCCTTGTTTTTTGAAGAACCCAACCGGATCCCCCTCTGACACAGCTTCATTTGTAATATGTAAAATTTCATCTTTAAAACACCTCACTGCTTCAAGATTCAGATCATGCACACATATTAACTGACATCTATTTGTTCTGTACAGTAAAAGTCCAGCACAAGCTAAAGTGCCCTCCTGAATTGGAAATCAAGAAAACATTTATGTGGGCATTGGTCAAATAAGGGCATATCAAGATGCGTAAGCAATGTATGATGTCTTTTCTGAACTTGTGATTAAAAAAAAAAACAGTAAAACTGCTTTTAAAATGTGTTTTGGCAATTTATGTTTGGCCTTTCCCTTTTCCTTCTAATCTGGAAAGCCTAAGACAGAAGCCAGTGACTATTAACTGTACTGAAGCAAAAGTTGCATTCAGTCCCTTGTTTATCTCTTATTTCTCAACAGAATGACAGAGAGGAAATTGCTAAGATTAGACAGTCCTGACATAATAATAAGTAAAAACCAAAACACATCATTCTCACCATTTATTTTCCTTAAATAATGTTTTCCAAACAGGCAAATCAGTAACTTGTAATAAGATGGGACACTGGACATTGTCAAACAAAATGTCACACATTTTTCATCATTCTTTCTTCACTTTGAAGAGCTGTA